ATCCTGTTTGATGGAGAAAAAACAGCTGAGAAGTGTAAAAAAAGGAAAATGTAATCCTATGTTAAGTTTGTAAACGCATTGGTTGCAAGCAGTATTGAAAGCTAAGCTAGGAGACTCGAACATCTTGAACATCTTGGGAATTACAGATCATAAGCTGAATAACTTCGAATAGAAAACTATTCATACGTTTTCTTTATCGTCTGTAAGCGGTGTTATGTATTACTGATATATTCTAACACACTCATGTTGAACAGGTTTCTCGTTGCTATTCTTACCATTCTTTAACGGGATTCGAAGTTTCAATCGGTAACTTTCAAAGGGATCAGAGTAACGGGTATTCAAACATTAAAATAAAACAAACGGTTCCAGTATTATGTATTTCGAGGTTTTACGCCCAGATTCATAGATCCGTTGCTAAAGGGAGCTGTTTCTGTCGTTTTTCATTCTTGGTTTCAATAGAAGTTCCAGACAGTATGTCACGCTATATCTGATTTGCATTGTTTATAGATTTTTTTGTCTTCATAGCGATTGATAAGTTCTATATACTTTCACATAGTGTAGAGATTCGGAAATTTTTCTGGATTTTAAAATCGGAGAGCTAGAAAAAAAAAGTTCAAAGTTCCGAACGTTTACTTGTGGTTTGATATTAGAATCTGTAGCGGATGATGAAGAAAGAGCGAAGTACAAAATAAAAAACCATTTTAAATTTCGTGTGTTCAACAAATTCAACTAATCACCACCATTCGTCTTCGTATGAGGTCTTAGATGGTCGGGGTTCCAACCCCCGTGGAACTGTAATGCTATGATTTTGATAGACAACGCTTTCCACTAGGCAGTTATGTTCATAGTCATCTGAAGATGAGCGATAAATGATCCCACTCTCGCTCTGTAAAGTTTAAATGTATTACGTGGAACGGCTAAGGACTAACGCAGTTGTGATAAAATTGATAGTAATATTCATAATTTGGAGGATTTTCATCATGCAGATAGAAGCAAACTCTGAATGTTATATTTCTTTCTCCAACTTGATTAATCAAGAAGGCTTGGACCTGTTGAGACTTACTATACGTATGCAACACATGATCTTCCTAGAAACATCAACTATATCAGAAACACAGAAAGTAAACCTCATAGATGGTGAAATTAAATACAGAAAACTTCTTGACATCTACGAACCGACATGTTACTGTTATATCATCGTAGAACAATGTAGTCGTACACTGCAATACTATCTCGAAAAACGGCTGAGAAAGCATGGAATACCTGTTGTTCCTTTGTTATTTTGAACTTCTCCAAGTCTACGTCATATCCAAATAAATTGAAAGATGATGTAATTTGAATAAAACATGCAAAGAAAATAACGGAATTCATGAACATGTGCTCATCTCAATATGTTAGCCGCCTCTCTCTTTAAATAGGGTCAGTTTAAAAGCTTTTTTAAGTGATCGCACAATTTATTCAAAGAAATTTTAATTTATTGTATATTAAAAGCATTTTTATTAAAAATTATTTTTCTTTATTCGTTTTATCAAAGAAAGTAAAATGAAAGAGGCGAATGTTCAAAGTTACAAGTGGTCAGTTTAGGTAAATTTGCACAAAGAAACACTGAGCTTTCATCGGTCACGCACTATCTCTCTGGTCTTCTGATTATTTTGATTTTGCTTTCGTTTTTCTTCTTTTTTCTATTTTTCAGACTTTTCGGATATTCCTAATGCAAAGAATGAAAGCTTGATATAAGAGATTTGAACAGTTGACAGCTGGAAGATGTTTGATAAATGATCTTCTCATCAGAATTATCTTCCATAACTTATTCACAAAAGATTCTTTTTCCATCTTTGTCTCTATGTGTATTTCGTTTTTCTCTCTTTCAATCTCACAGATTCCCTTTCGAACAATCCCACACCGGTACACTGGTTTCAGAGCGGGGATGCCCCCCACAAATGGCTATTCATTAGAACGGGATTTCCTTTTTTCTAGAAAAAAAAGAATCACACGTGATTATTTCAAGATCATGTCTTTTACAGCGCTGAGAATATCATGAAAATTCATGTTAATCAGAATAAACTAAGCACTACTTCCTAGCAATAACTGAAAATAAGAAAAAACAACGAGTAAGAGGAAAAATTGTTCAGTTAACCCTCAACTGTCTATTTTGACTGGTCAATCCTATATTCAACAATTTTTTCCAAAATTTCTTCGATTTTCGTCCAACCATCCAGGGAAGTCCATTTAAGGGCCGGATAAATTACCCCAAGCGTATGTATAGTCGATGCCTCTGGGCTGACTGTATTATGAAGAATGACGTCGTCACGGAGTTTCTAGTTTCTCCATCTCTTATTATCAAATGAAATCATTATTAAAGGAGTTCATTTGTCCTTTTTCTTGGTTTCTTCTTCATATGTCTTACTATTTTCTCTTCTTTTTTTTTGTCAACCCTTTCCCTGCCTCTTTCCCTGATGCTTCGCTCTCCCTTATTCTCTCTCTCTCCCTCTCTCTCTCCCTCTATCCATCACTTGTCCACCTCTCAGGTAATCGTATATATCAATAAAACTCTCTAAAAAAAGATTTTTTGCTTTATAAAAGCTCATAGTCCTTATCTTGTCTTTTAAACATAGACATCCTTTCTTTTGTTTATCTTCTTGTGTTTTTCAAAGATCATAGTGTTGGTTTAGCAGTCTTTATGTAGTAGTTCAGCTCTTGTTTTCTTTTCTAGTCTGTGTCGTTTTGTCTTTCTATTAATAGTTCAAAGTTCAACTTATTGCCAATGTTCTCATCACCATTGCTAGAAGAAGCAAAAAAAACAATTGACTGCTCATTTGGACTTTGATTTTGATAGTTTCATTTCTTTTGCAGATCTATCTTCTTTTTTTTTGTAAAGCTCCTTTTTCTAATCCTTGCACAGTATATCAATTTTCTCTCATATTACCTTTTTTGCTATTAATTATCTTCTCTCTATTGTCTGAATGACCTCTCCATTAATTGTTCTGATGACATACGTCATGCTGATTTAGCTACTGTTCCCGAACTACTTTTTTGTCAATAAAAAAGAGCTCATTTCTTCAAAAACTACTAATTGGTTCTTTTGTACTCATCTCGTATACATTATCATTCTCATGATATATTAGTTTTTGAAATTACTTCCTCCTAAAAGTGTATGAAGTTCTTCGTATTTTACCTGTTTGATATTGTTTGTTAGCTATTTTGAATTATGTGTAGAATATTGTCTCATGTTATAGTGATCTCTGCATGTATTCACATATAGTAGGAATAATCATGCCATATTTGGCCCAGGGTCCTGTCCCATTGGCAAGAAAATTGGGCGGGTACAACCTGAGTACATATGAACGTAAAATGACCATATAGTGGACGCAGTTGGGGTTGGGAACACATTGTCATTCTCGGTTTGGCCGCCAACCCATGTCCCGCTCTATTCCCGTCTCCTAAATTGTCATCTCATACCGTAAAGAGAACGTATTCCCCTTTTTTTCTCTATTTTCTTGCACGGGTTATGGTTTCATACTCTACTACACCGTAATCTGCTGTAGTTGAAGTCATTCTTGCAGTTTATCCTAGTCCAGTAGAATAAGAAGAAAAATGTGATGTGTAGCGATTCCCATTTTTGAAATAAGTTAAGCGCATTCTTTTGTTTTGAGCAAAAACGTTTCTGTTCTATTTCCACAAAATCCTTCTAGATGATTCAGCCTCATTAGCCTAACAAGCAATTTCTCGAAAATTATATTTTTGTCATTGACATGGTTGAGAATGTTGCATAATTTATTTATTGATATGAAGTTGTCTTCATCTACGACAGAAACATTCCTCTATCCGTTTGATATCAGCCATGTTTATGAGACTTCCTTATTATCATCTCCATCATTACCATCATGATTCGATAGAAAGGTGTTGTTTCTTATAACCAGCTTTGCTCCACCTTTTTGTTTTTTTTTCTTTATATCACTTTTCTTTTTCACGTTATTCATTTTAAATTGATCATCGCTTATCGTATTCCTTTTAAGGAGCAGTAGCATTAAGCCGAAGCAGAAAGCCGGAGGATAACAGTCCTTTGCAAATAGTCCGTAACGATGGTTATGACATTATGGTCTCTATCTGGAATCCGACTCTTCCTTATTGGATGGATTCTTACTTCTATTACTAACTTCCCTGCAGCATATACCCATACCTCCATTAATACAGCTGTTATTGAATTGAACAAGTATATCAACGAATCCTTCACTGACCGTTTCCGTCCACTACAAATAGAAGAGGTATGTTTCTTGGTAGTATGTTATGCACGATGAGAATATCTTTTTTGTCTCCTTGATCTTCTGAATATTCTGTTTCAGGTGTCATTGATCAAATCTGGTGTTAATAGCGTCTGGTATGTGGGACAAATTGGCGGTGCCATAATTAGTCCTATTGTATGTGATAGATGGGGACGTAAAGGTTTGTTCAAACTATTGTTTACTCCTGGAAATTTGAATAAAATAGAAATATTGTATTATATGCAAGAAACGGTCTTTTTCAGTTGCTTTCATCGTTTCCGTTGTAATGATGACATCCGCCTTAGGAATACAGATGTTGGCATCTTTAACCCCTTACGTTGAGGTTCATTATTTATGCCAGAACGATGATTATGAATTATAATTTGAAGATTCTTGTAACTGGACGGATTATTACTTCCATTTTCTCTCCATTGAGTGATGCAGCTCTGATGCTCTATCTTCAAGTATATCTGAACTCGAAGAACTTTACATCAAATAATCTTGTAGGAGATATCTCCAGCCAGTCTAAGAGGAACAATGTCTTCTCTTTTCTCAACAGGATATGCCGTCATGTGTTTGTTTGGAATGGTAATTGGGCATGAAAATGTGTTAGGTAAGTGTGAACATACTGTATTCCCAGTGGGATCTATTTCTATTCAGGTCATTCGCTTCCTCTTCTTTTCTTTGTCCCTCTTCTTCCTGGTCTTATTTCCTTCATCTATCTGCTTTTCCTACCTGAAACGCCTAAGTATTTGATCTTGAAGAGGTATGAACGGCCCAGATACTATTGCTCTAACCTATACTTCAAAGAAATGACAAGGAGGAAGCTGTGAAAGCTTTACAGTTCTTCCAAGGAAGTAATGCGGATGAGACACAGTTGTTGGTCGCGAACCATAGCAGCAATGAGTCTGTCAAAGAATCTTCTATCTTTGCTATTCCTGTAAGTATCTACATTCTTTTCACTTTGGAAAATCATTTATTTGCAGAAACTGCTAAGGGAACGTCATCTCATGAGAGCTTTCAGTATGTCAGTTGCTGTTCTCATTTTGACTCTACCATTCTATCCCGTTTTGCAAAGCAGCACATTCTTCTTTACCCATTTACATGTTCCAAAGTACAGATTTTTAAAACCTACTTCTTCATATCATATTCATTACAGTGCTGTCGCCCAATGGTCATCGTCTCTTTTAATGGTATTACTAACTGTCTGCTGCCTGACGTCCACAGCTATCGTTGATAAACTTCCAAGACGGTCAGTTCCTTTTTCCCTGTGTCGTTGACATCTACAAGACCAAAATAACATCATCTTGTGTTCATTAAAAATCATTCTGACGAGATATCATTTCCATTCTTTCAGATTCATGCTTCTTACAGCTGGTACTTGCAGTATTCTGGCGCTCTCTCTCTTCTCTTTAGCGTCTGTGCTGCAACTGAAATACCTTGCTGTTGGCGCTATTTTCACATTCATTCTATCGTATGGGTAAGTGATTTCTTGCAATCTTTAAAAGATAAGAAAACTGATAATATTCGAGTTTTTCTTACGATACACAACCGATCTCCTCGTCCATGATGTGAAAAATGAGATCGTCCGCCATAAAATTTTCATACGTGATAAACGTGAAAATTCATAATTACGGGGATCAGAATATCTTTGTCTCCATTTCAGATTGGGTATTGGTCCTGTTGCATGGTTCATTTGCCCCGAGTTGGTTCCATTACAACATCGTTCAGTTATGTTCTGCTTGTGTTATGCAGTTCATAGTTGTTTGGTTGTTATTACTAACTTCACAATAATTCCTCTATTTACGGTAAGATATGGTCATGAGGAATGAAACATAATTCATTTGTTTTCAGATAATTGGTGGTTTATCATTCATCCCAGTTTACATAATTCCATGTTCTCTCTCAGTTTTGTACATCTATCTGTACTTACCTGAGACAAAAGGACGTGAGAATCATGATATTGTCAATCAGCTTCGTGGAACTAAGCAAAAATCAACAAACATTCCAACCGTTTAAATCGGTTTACTCATGTTAGAACAAATAATTCCGCTGCTTTTCATGCTTAGCAACCGATTTGACAAGAACTGAACTTGACTCTGCTTTTCTTAAGCATCATCGATTCCACCATCATGCTTTCTGCTTCCCTGAGACATTTATGTGTTTGTGAAGTTGGCTGTAGAGCTTTGGCTCTGTTCCTTCACATCACTTTGTCCTTTTTCTGCTACTGCTCTCCTTCCTTTTCATGTTTATGCCGGTCCCATCTCTACTAGAATCTGGCCTGACGTGCTCTTTCACATTGTCTACTTTTTTCTTTTCTCAGTCTCATACTCGTGCTGCCAGCCAGTCACAAAGGTCTCAATACTTATAAAACGAATGATTTCTCAAGCAAAGTTTGCTCAACTCATCATTAAATTCAATGGTTAGCATATGTATCTTTTTTTATTTTGGTTTGTATTCTAGACGAAAGAGGCTGAAGCCTTAGTCCTATTTGATTTGATCATATAGTTTGCTATTTTTTAAGCAAAAGTTCAACTGAATGCATTATATGATAATCCAGTCGTCTCCCCCCTCCCCTCTCTCTTTTCTTCATTTGGTTCAATCTTTAGACGTAAGAGTTTCTCCATCTTTCTCTCACCAAACTAAAATTACTGACATTTTACTCTGACTTGAATGACTGACTGATGTTTTTTTTCAACACAACATGTCTGACTGAATGCCATTTTTTTAGATTATTTTGATTGTAATTAGTTAGTCGATAGTATGTTAGCTAATCAATTTAGGTCTTTGTAAGCTAATTTATGTCGATAGTATGACTGATACACTTGGTGCTTTTTAGCATTTGGACGATGTCACGTGTCGTGAATAAACTTTATAAAAAAAATGTTTTTTTTTTGTTTTCTTAATTTCTCAAATTTCGTTTATTTTTTTTCACTTTGAGATGTCTTAATGGCTGTTCATGAATTGATGTTGTGAGGTCGAGAGCAAGGAGAGGAAACTACAGCCTATTCCTCTGAGAACAAAACCCACGTTTTCGTAAATATTTGCTCCTTTGCCTGGCCATTTGTTTCCATGATTGTATCTTCATCTGTCTTATGAAAAGAAATTTTTCTTTTTTTTTTATATGTAAATTGTACTCGTTCATCCAAGCTTTCCATTTACGTAATAGCTTGAATATCATTGGATGAAGGCTATTCTTTTTTTTTTTTGAGAATGCGCCTTGTCTTCATATTTCTCTCATTTCCGCCTCTTCCTCAATTCGTTCTTTTTCTTCCATTTTGTTCTGTCTTTTTCATTTCCATCTATGAACAATTCAAATTTCTATCAGCTTTTACTCAATTACTTGAGCATCTTAATGGATGAGAACTTCCTTCAGCAGGTTTACTTTTGAATGTTTTTTAATCTCTTGAATAGACAAAAAGCCATATCTAATTGAATGTTAATATGTATATGTTAGGACGTTGTTGACCTTTCAACAATCGAAAATTAATCGAAACTGTGCTTTTTGAGGAGAAAATTAAAAGATTTTTGACGTTTTATTCTTGTCAGGTGAATACCAATGAGTGTGTCTGGATATGAACATTTCGTTCCTTAGATATAGAAAATATTATAAAAAAGAATAAAGATGTTGAGAAAGCTGTATGCCTGATGAGAGAACACTCCTTCATATGTATATATTTCTGTCATAAACCATTCGTTGAAAAAATTATCTTCGACGAGTAAATGGATGAAATAAAAAATAATAAAAATATGATGTGAATCTTTGATCACCTATATGATATAGTTAGTAATTTCTATTGAATTTTTCATTTTATTTCCTCTTAAAGTATTTTTCAAAGACAATTTCGTCTTCTTCAATTGAATTTCAGATTCAAAACATTCTTTTTGAAAGTTTGAGAGATTTTTTTTTCATCCTCAACTTTAACGATTCTGTTTTTTTTCTCTTCTTTGTGTTTCAAATTTTTTTGAGCGAAAGTGTATTTGATCCTTTATGACTTTCGTTTGCTTCTCTCTGTGTTTCAATTTTTTTTGTTTTCAACAAATCTTTTTTGACCTTTTTCATCTCTATTCTCTAGAAGCATCTTTGCTCATATATTTGATTAAAATTGAAATATACGAATAAAGGAAGCAGAATGAGCTTGTCCGGAGAGCTCGTAACACAACATTTGCATGTTAAAATGAGAGATCCATCAGGTAGCTTAGACCATTTGCTGCTTGCCGTCGAACTGTCTCTGAATTTTAGAAAAGCTTGAAAGCATATCGTTTTCGTAGTTCTAGTTATTTGCTACTCTACCCATACACCTGATACACCTGAGGTTTCAATCGAATGGAACAAGCAAAATGACAATATGAAGAATTGTGAAAAGTATTTGAGAAAGAGAGAGAAAGCGAGAGACACCTCATATGTCTAATGACATACTAAACAATGTTGATTTAATGGAGAGTCTAAGTTCCTTTGATCACGATAAAAAGTCAGTCAGTTTGTAAATCCAAGATACACATGTGAGACGGGAGAATAGAGAATGAAAAAATTGAAATAAAAATGCACAAATGAGAAAACTATGAAGAGGGAGACTATGGAGAGAAAAACATGAAAAGAAATTGAGAGAGAGAGGGAGAATATAAAAAACGAATGGAAACACAGAGAGCAGAAAGAGAGGAAAGACGACATATCCTTTTTCTTTTTTTGGCTATTGCTGCCCTCAGTCTCACTTTTTACTCTTCGTCCTCGTGTGCTAAGCTTGTCATCGTTTGTTGAATGTTATCCTCTCTTTCTCTGCCATCTACGGGTAATGCAGTTTCATCATCATCATTGGAGAAGCAACAGAACTGCTGAAGAAGCCCACAGCTCTCTTTTTTCCTCTTTCACTCTTTCCATTTTTCTATCTTTCTGATTTTCTTCCTATTCTTTCCTATCTGCCCTGCCATACGGGTTTAGGCTTCAAGCGGAATTCTGTGTGTCTGCTCGATATAGAATGAGACGTTTACTTCCAAACTTTCCATTTATTTCTCTTTTTCTCTATTGCCTCGTAGATTTATGTAGTTAATAGTTTGATATATTCCTCATCCTTCGTTTTATTTCATGGACTTCCTGATCTATATATCTCCTTCCACATTCTATCTTTTCATCTGGCTCTTTCATTTTCTTTCTAAAATATCTCTTCTTTATTTCTTTTTTCTCATATACTCTCTATTGCTTTCTATCTTTTTTTGCCCCTCTAAATCTCTCTCTTTTCGTTTTTCATTTTCTCTGTTCACTCATGTACCCACGCAATCTATTTTCTTTTATGGAATCATGTCGTCGTTTTCAAGCAAAATGTCGTACTTCATGCTTAAGGTGCTCAAATTTGTTTAAAAATATTGTTTAACCTTTGTTTTTCGATTTTGTATCGATTTCAAACTTCCCTTTATGTAGACATTGAAATTTGAATAAAAATATTCAAAGTGCCGTTCTGACGTAAAACGTCATTTAACTTTCGAGCGTCGATACAGAACGGTTGCTTCTCTCTCTGTTGTACATGGATTTTTATGAAAAGTTGAAGAAATGTCTAAATTCACACGTCACTATGCTAAGTGCTTGCTCTTCATAATTTCATTTTGAAAGAGTTGACTAATTGAGATGGCAAAGGAGTATTTCTAATGATTTTAATGAAAAAAATCAACATTATGATTTTCAAAAGTTAATTAATATTTAAATTAAAAATTTTTGTTGAATAAAGAAACCAGAAATACGTCTTCTTGTGAGTTTCATCATAATTGTTTGCCACATGTAGGAAACATCGAATGACTCAGATTAGTCTTTTCACCAACACTCATCTGTTGGTTCAAAAAATCTTTCATTCTCAAAATTATTTTATTTATGCTTTTTTTTCTTTTTCTTTTTTCAGACTTTTCGATCTACATTGACTGATGTTTGATTTCTTTACTTTGCTAGACAGAAACCATGTTCAGTTCGTCTTCTAACTTAACCACTTTCTCCCACTCACATTCATACATATCTTTATATTTATAATTGTATGTAATGATTTTGTTTCCATCAAATCAGAACGAACTTCCAATTATGTAGAATGACGTCATGTGAGTGATGAAGACCATGAAAAATTCAAAAAAAAAATTTTCCGATTGCAATGAGAAAGGAGAAATGAATGGTTGAAGACGAGAGAGAAACACGAATGGAAGCCGAGCAACCATCTCGATGTTCCGTTTTGAAATTTCTTTAAAAAATGATTCTCTTTTTCTCTTTCCATCACACTCTCACTCTCTAACTATCTAACTTTTTTTTTTTTGTTTTGTTTCACGCTCTTTCTCTCTGTCTGTCTATCCTCCATCCTTATATCGAGATTTGAAGTTGGTTATGAAGTTTGACTTTGGCATGTTGGAAAATCGTTTAATCGATTTCGATAACTGGACTGTTTCAAAGAAATATTTTCATTTTTTTTTCAATCAAATATTCCGATAAAAAGAGATAGAAAGATATGGATATAACCGAGAGGGAATGAGAGAGGGAGAGAGAGAGATAGAGGTGAGAAGAGCTTTGTTCGTCTCTCTTTGTATTTTATTTATTGTCGATCGTTTTCATTTTTTCTCATGTTATGATCTTTATCAATCATGATATTCAAAGACACTTTTTGATTTTCTCCTGTTCTTTCAGTTTGAAGAAATCTCTTCTTTTTTTTATTTCTTTGAAAGCAATGAAGCCATCAATTTGATGAATGCCAAGTATGACGTGAAATTGTCTTTGGGATTGTTGATGACACAACTCCATCAGCTGATGATTTTCTTAAAAAGGGCATCAAATCGTCAAATCGGCAACAATTGCTAGTTTGCATAGGAAGAGAACTGCAAAGTTTTTTTTCCCTCCTTATACACATGGACCTTCTGACTGCTTCAGTTCATTTTTTTCTTCTCTTATTTTAACGAATCTCATTTTTCTTTTCATGAATTTCAGTCACTCTATTATACTGTTGTTGACTGTATTACAATGATATTGAGTATGGAAGGAGATGATGAGAGAAATAGGGAGTGAAGCAAGATGTGGAGGGAATGTAAGGGGAGGGAAGGAGAGTCAACTATGAGGAGTCTCTTCCTATGTATGAATGTTGTTTGAGCGATGCTGTTGTTGAATGACCGAAAAGTCAGAGAGAGGAAAGTGAACGAGGAACAATGTGTTTGACATAGAGAAGAGGTGAAGTAAGAAACGAAGAAACAAGTGTAAATTCAAAGAGAAATCAGGCTGTTAGAGGCTGGTTGATGACTACCTATCGATTGAATTCTTCGATCCTATTGGTCGACAAGTCATCTTTTTCTTGGCCGGTTGCCAGCGATGAAGCTATCAGCTCGAAAGTGCCAATCGCAAGTTGAAGCTAAGGTTGCAAGACGTCAATACAATCACTTCTATAGGTCACACATTCTGTAAAAAATAGCTTCATAGATGATAAAGTTTCGTTTTATAAACTTTGTTCATATTCTATTTCCTAGAGAGACATGTCTATCACAAGCTCTATCTCTTTATCGCTCTTTTTTTCTGATTTAAGCTGAAACGCATAGTTGATTGAAAGCGGAACTGTCGAAAATATTCTATGAATTCGAAGAATGATCAAGGAAAGGCTTTTCATTCATTTTCTTCTCTCTTACTATTTTAAGTTAGTCCCTAACTGAAATTTTGATCAAAAACGTTTCAAAACAGGCGCTTTCATATTTGTTCTGCGATAGTTATACAACTGCTACGACCCATTTTGCGGGAAACTTGTCAACCGAGAGAGCCATTCTAAACTTGAACTGACCTCTTCTTCTGGATGCAATGTAATTAGAGAGGCAGAACTATTAGAATAAGAAAGCAAAATGATTTTTGTTGTTAAGGCGAATGATCAAAGTATAGACACTCGGAGCTCTATTTGTTTTATTTATTTCAATATCTTCTAAATTTCCTAATTATATATAATAGTTGTGATGATGCTCTCTCAATCAACTGGCAAGAAATTGATAAGAGCATGTGCTGGTCATCTCCAGTAATGATATGATTTGAAAAAATGAACTTTTTTTTACTTCTTCGATCGTAAAAAGAAGTAAAAGCATATCAATTAGTTTTTCTTGAATGTGTTTTGTGTATTTGAATCAGAAATCTTCTTTTTGCTCTCATTTCACAACAAGCCAATCAGTTCCTGCATCTGCAAATCCTCCTTTTTCACTCTCTAATGGATCTTTTCATTTTTCTCTTCATAAGTTCATCTTTCTTTCCATCTTTTTTTTTGTTCTCTTTTCTCGATTGATTGCTCATTGTTGCTTATCTGAAATCAAAAGAAAGGACATTGAGCATAAAGATTCTGTGTGTCGATTCCTTCAGACAGCGAATCGATTTTAGTTCAGCTACATGTCAAATCACATGTTCATTCGGACTATTGTATACTCTTTCCACTTTCCGTTGAGAATTATCAAATTTATTTTCAACACCAACTTGAGAGAGAATGATTCAGAGCACAACAAAAAATTTCTTTTACAACTTACTTTTGACGTCAGCCATTCGGAACAAGAATGCTTAACTATGCTGAACACATACTTCTCATGTGGTGCATTTGATTTATATGATAATGTGATGAAAAAAAATCTTATCTTATAAGTAATTTTAATGAATGTATATTGATGATTTGTTTTCATAATTGAGCTTATTATGCGGTTACGTGAAATTTTCCACGTCGAATAAGAAATACGAGTTGAATTATATTTCGCGAAAAACATCCCCACGGAACGGTTGTGTCTTTTTTCTTTTTTTTTCCAATTTTCATCTGTTTTTTCTTATTTCCTATTCACTTTCATCAAATTTTATAGGTTCTTTTCACACACTCCATGTATTTCATATATTTTTTGTTTAAACAAGTCGTATCATGAATATAAACATTTTCTTCCCAAATTCTAAAGCTTTTTTGATGGCAGAAAGAATATTTCCAAATGTTTTTTTGTACTTGACATGAGTGAATTTCGTAGCTTTGCAAGAGCTCCAGCGATGGCTCATGAGTGTCATGTCCTTTTTTTGTTCTTACAATCAATATTTTATTTCTTTGATCTTTTGTTGTTTCCAAATTTATCACTGAATGTCATATGTTCATAAATGGCTCGAAAATGTGAGTTCCGCTTGACCAGCTTGGGCGTAATTTACCGCTTCTTCTTCTTCAACAGCAACTAAAAAGGTTTTTCCCGACTTGAACTTTGTATTGACGTTTATGGTATTCCTATTCGAACCTCTCTTAATTCACTTCTCTTGTCTGTTTTGCCATTCAAGCTCGGAAATATTTTGTTTTCTCATTTTAATCAACTCTATCAGTGTTTATGGTGAACTCTGATTATTCTTCTGCATAGTAACAATTACATTATGACGACAATATCTGAAGCGAAGTTGTTAGTGAGAAAATAATTTAATTGTCTAAACTTTAATCCATCTATTTTTGTTTTCGCTGCCTGAGCTGGAAGATTCTTCAAAAGGATTATGTAAAGTCAAAAATCACTTTAACATTTTAAATTATAATTGAATATCTATCTACTTGTTTATAAGTTGAATAGAAGTTACTGAGACTCATTTATAATTCTCATATTACATCCAATTAATTCATTCTCTTTATTTCGACGAATAGTTATGTAATTGGGAATCGCTAAAGAACATCTTCAGATTCAATGGATTAATATGGCAAAAATTCGACACTCAACAGACAGACGTGAAAAGTTACAACAGTTTGCTAATACTACTAGAGGCTTTTCTCCTGTTTGTGAGGAAAAGTCTACAGATTGTATCCAACCAGGATCAAGTTTTGCTTCTTCTGACTTCGACAGGTGAATTATAATTCCTAACCACAATCCCAATCCCAAAAACAGTCTGTCATTCCTATCCCAACGGTGTGTATTCAAACTATTTCGTAACTTTATTGACATTATCACCGGTGCGCTTTCGAAAAAAAGTTTCTGTTCTCTCTCGATATCCTTATTGCTTTTGAACAAACGGAAGAACTCATGCTCACGTCTAGGTAATAATGTTAATTATAATTTGTTGAATCATAAACGGTGGAAAATATCTAATTCTTCAATTTCATGCCTCTCAATGAAAAGAATGAGGGTGACGTGAGACTGAAAATATTAAAATTTACTTATAATGTCCGAAAGTTCAGTTCAACAACAAAATTTTTTCAGAAAATCGAAAGCTCCGCACGATCAATTGAGAAACTTACAGGTAGTTACTTATTCTTCACCTTCTTCTCGACTTTCTCAGCTTTTCAATTTCCAAATATTACGCTTCAGGACAGTTTATCCACGTTTTTTACGCCATCGTCTGGTCGAAGAAGTCGTCAAGCTCCGAAAAAGTTCGAGGATGAAGGTCCGGAGAAGCCCATGAAGATTATTAGAATTTCCAATGATATGGAGGATACTCAACTGATGAACCCATTACAGGTACCTCTATCAATCTCATTGATGCTGACAGTAATGTTTCCCATTTCTGAAAGCTTTTTTTTCAGTCTCCTCTGACAATAGATGTCAACCATGAACCCGTTAAAACAAAATCAACTGCTTCACGTAGATGTGAGTTGATTGTTCTAAGAGGAACTAAATAATTCCAATTGAACCTTTTTTTAGCTTCAGAAGCTCGTTCACCTCAACGACGAGCATGTGAAACTTTGGTAGATTCTTTGTCCTCTTTCTTCTCAGTGTCTTCAGAGAAAAGACGAATCATCCCTCGGGCAGGCTCAGCTCAAATAGGTGAAGCAGTTTAATTTATTAAAGAGTAAAAACCTTCTGTCTGCTTACTCATTGTCCTTGCATCATGCCGTAATCGGAAAATGTCAGGCAGATGTTCCTCTATGGTATTGTGACCACGCGCCACTCGCTCGAATATCCTTTGACCAATGCTATAATTTTATAGTTAATTTCCTGGAAATATCTACCTCATTTGCAGTTTTGAAAAGTTTTTATTCGAACGAAATGATAATCAGTGTTAGAAGTTAGTATCTTCGCCGATGCCAATTGTATAAATTGTAAGATGGTAGTGCAAGTAAAACTAAAAATCTTCTTGTCCATCGATGAGAGGTTTTTTTCATATTTTTCATCTACTCACAACAGTGGCCGGAGTTCTCCTCTTGTATCTAGAGATCATGTACTCGTTGTTCTGAGCATTCGTTCTTTAAATTGTGACCTCTAGTATTGATCCGTTCCCAATATGATGTTTGTCACCATAACGTGCTCGAATTAGTTGGGATTAGCAACAATCATGCGTCCTCAGAGTTACAAATATAATATACTGGGTGTTTGTCTTGCATAAGATAACTCTAATAATTCGCGCAAAAAATTGCACCTAAATGTTAATTCGCTTTCAACTATGACCTTTTCGCGTATCCTTGCTTCCATTCTTTTTTTCTTTTCATATTCCGCCTTTTTTTTCGTAATTGAAACTTTCTTTTCTTCTTTCTCTAATTCTCCCTCGTTCTGTGTCGTCTGATGTGGTAATAGGGGAGGAGCATTTTCAACATTCATACCTCGTTATGGATTTCCCATAGAGTGTCTCTGTTCGTTTTAATATACATATTTGAGCAGATGATCGGGTGTTTATGAAATTCCCAACTTTTTACGAAAGCGCTTAAAACACTAGCAGATATCTTCATATCTTAATATGCTTCCCATAATACTTCAGAAATTTAATTTTGACCAGGAATGGCAATCGCGAACACTCTTTGTAGTCCTCCCTTTATTGCTTCCATTCACCACTTCCTTTTCATATTAATTAATTCTTCTCCATGTATAAGTACTTTGTTTAATAACAGTTATAATATTTAAAACTAACCATTGATCTTTTGCTGCCTTATACGGCCCAGCTACTACTTGAATGTTCGTCCGCTTTTACTTACTAATCATTGTGATTTCAATACGAGTTATGACAATATCAAATTACAAATACTCTCCCCTCTTCATAACTCATAGTAAATCTCGACCTACCAGATTTCAGAAATAGCAAATGGAAATCTTTTCACTTCATTTGTGATTATCTTTGTCGATTCATGCGCCCTCCCCCAACCCTTAATCTTCGTATTCAAAATCAATTTCTTAACTCTGATTCGTTGGTTTAGCAAACCAACATCTTCAATTGAACATCATGATTATCCACTTCTTTACCCCACTAAAATTAGATTAAAAAACTGAAATACTCGGGCTCATTTCTATATTTAGAAAATTCACCCGGTACTTCTTCCAGTAACTGCCCCAGTAGGGACAACGAGTTCTCAGAGAACAGAAAAAAGGTATGACGTTGGTTTTTTGCGTGGATTAAGCTCTTTTGTTTAGATGTCCATTAGACTTCGTAAGTCAGACGCCGAGCTCAAACCTATAGTGGGAGGACGACACACTCAAAATAGTGCCAGTGCAGCTCTGTTTGGCTCACCGAGTAAAGACGACAGAGTGAGATTACAATTTTCAAAATTATCCAAAAAATCTAAAAATAAAAAGCTGGAAGCTTTTGAATGGAAAATATCCTTTACTATCGATAAATAAGTTTTTGCAGGTAAAAATAAATGGAAGTTTATCGCCCGTTTGTAAAAGACCAAAGTTAAAACACCCTTCGCGTTCTTCCAGTAAGTATAAGGAAGAGAGTGATGAGGACGATAAAGTCAGCGAAGAGAAGGTTCGTCATTTTTCAACTTTTTTTTGATGGTGTTGGCTGTGGCCAGATCGTTGTCGTCTTTTGCAAAAGGAGGTTAAATTTCTCTTTCTTGATTAGCCATTTTCGAATCCTTCATGATAACTCATGTACATACCTGATATTTATGAAAATCTTGGAGTTTATTATAAAATCATAAGAATATAACGATAGCAACAGCATGTAGTAGTAGTATGCCAAATCGAAATGCGGTAAATGTGTTTAATCAATGCGCCAATCTAAGTATTAAGCTTTTTACCTCAAGCTCAAAAAGGAAGTTCGAAGATGCTATAGATATTTTGCTTTCAAATGCTTACCGATTTCATTCTTAGCAAATTTCTTTAGAACACTCGCAAAAAAGCCATAATAGTCAGCGATCTCTCTGTTTATGCAGGCCATCTCATTCATTGTTTGATTCCTTGACTATTCTCATTCCTCGGCGCAGCATTTCTATGTTGCTTTTGTCATCTAGTCTCTCTCACTCATCATGCGTTAGAAAATAGTATCTCTTATTTCGCTCGTCGTCCTCCCATCCCCTCTTCCTCCAGCTGCTACTGCTGTTGCTGCTTTGCTGTGCAGTGTGCTTGCTATCCGTCCCGTCCCGTGCGTCCCCCCACCCAACAATCGCTTTCTCCTTCTTCACCGCCTAGCCCCCTCTCTACGAACATACACATAGCAGCCTCCATATTCTCTCTTCTCCTTTCTCTTCTCCTGCCGGTTCTCTGTGGTTTGGGCGCCAAAATAGTCATTCACAACGCCCAGCCACCCCCACTACGACCACTAGCGCACAGAAGACTACTATTACTACCACTACTTCTTCATCAAAACGACGACAACGATAATATAGAACATACACACATACGTGAAAATGCCTACACATGTGCTTTTATAGACTACTCCTAAATCCAAATCAAGGATGAGAGAGAAGAAGAAAAAGAAGTTGTAAGTTTCTACTTTCATTCCATTTGTTTACGAGAATTCACATGTTTTCCATTTTTTTGCTCTAAGTTTTACTTCTATTGATTTTTCCAGTTTTGTGTTTCTGTCTCTTTTATCCATTTGGCCTTCTTTAACATTTTCTTTAGAAGTTCTGCCATTTCTCCATCCGGTTCGACTTCTGGTGACAAGGAGAATATTAGTTCTGACTACATTCAAGATGGTCAAGTCCAGGTTTTCATAACATACAATTTTTGTTTTAAACATTTTAAATTTTTAGGTTACGGATGATAACCGTCAAGTATTCGAGGAAGCTAGGAAGAGGACTCAAAAGGTAACCCTATATTCTTTTTGTTTTATGAATTTAGTTTTTTTTCAGTTGATTGATGAAGCTATCCAAGAAGTAGCAGACAGGGTAGCTTCGTCAGAAAACAAGGAGACGTGTCAATGGCCGCTAGCTATTAGAATAAGTCTGTTCATCTTATTAAATCTCATTTCATGTTTTTCTTTTATAGGAAATTTTGAGATTAAAACTTGGTATAGCGCTCCATATCCTCAAGAATACGCTCATGTAGCTGTTCTTCATATTTGTGAATATTGCTTGAAATATATGAGGTCTGAGAAAATCATGGCTCAACACCAGGTGACTTTGAATTCCTCTTCACTTTCTAATAAAGCTTGTTTTAGAAAAAGTGTAAAGTTTATCGTCCTCCCGGTAATGAAATATATCGTCATAATAATGTCTCTGTTTTTGAAGTAGATGGAAATGTATCGAGGTTAGTTCATCCGTGACTATGCGTTAGAGTAACTGAGTTATTATTTAGACTCTATTGTCAAAACTTATGCTTGTTAGCAAAACTTTTCCTCGATCACAAGACATTGTACTACGATGTTGAGCCATTTCTTTTTTACGTTGTAACAACTAATGATGAATATGGCCAGCATTTTGTTGGTTATTTTTCAAAGGTATTTTCTTATTTTTGGTTTCTTCTAATTTTTCTATTTTTTCTATTTTAGGAGAAGTATAGTGCTCAAAAGTTCAACTTATCATGTATTGTAACATTGCCTTGCTATCAAAAACAAGGTTTTGGACGGTTTCTTATTGATTTTAGTATGTTGATAGAATTTTCTTGTTTTTTTTTCACTTCCATCTTTAGGTTTTTTACTCTCAAGGAGGGAACACATGCAAGGAACTCCAGAGCGTCCTTTATCAGACCTCGGTAGAGTGTCCTATGCAAGTTATTGGAGAACTTGTCTAATGGAATATATGTATAATACAGGAAAACATAGATCGTAAGTTTTCACCTCGTTCACCTATCATTCTACTGTAATTTCAGTGTTATTTCTCTTGCTGACATTGCTCGCGAAACCGGAGTTTCAGTTTACGATGTTACAGAAGTTTTCGATTCATTACGATGGTTTTCTAAGCAGAATAATGGTGAAAGAGTGTAAGTCATTGACCATTCCAACTTTTCTCAACCTTTGAACTGTACAGTTTGGAAATCAATAATACAATGCTTGAAAATCATTGGAAAAAAGCCAAAGCAGATAAGAATAGGATATGGATACATGAACCAGCTTTGAAAGTTAGTTCCTCATTCTGAACGGGGTTTCACGTTTCATTTACAGTGGGTACCAGTCAAGCATACACCAACTAAGGATTTTGGGGTTCGCTCTCCCGTTTTGACTCTGACACCCCAACGGAGTCCAATGTCCACGGCTAACGTGGGGAGCACGCCAACTGGGGTTTCTTTAGCTGCCGTGGGAAGTACAGTTAAAAAGGTTTTTTTTTGTGTTCTTTATGCTATTATTAATCTTATTCGTAGGGAGCTTCTCCTAAACCTTCAAAGAAGAAAGCTGCTCGGCAGTTGAAACTCTCTGCTTCAATTAGACCCAAGCTTCTTTCATCTTCGTCAGAAGATAGTTCATCCGAATCTGATCATTCACCAAACAGAAAAAGTTGTCGTACTAAAAGTCGTGGTAGAGCTCGTGATAAATCATCCGATGATGACGAATCGCGCCGGCCAGATAGCAAGGTCCTGAAAAAGTATAATAAACGTATGTTTAGCTTGTGTTTTTTTATAATCTATATCTCTTTAGTCGCAAATGAGAGTAGAGTCTCGAGTAGCAATTCATCGAAGAAGGAGCCTGTATCGTCAAGTTCAAAGAATCGATGTACAGTTAGCCGTGGCAGAGCCGTTTTCGACGATACTGAAAGTAGTTCTTTTTCCTCTTTTAGCTCTTGTCATGGTGAATTTAGAACTCGTTAATTCTAATCAAGGGAATGGTTTAATGGTAGACAAGAAAGGGGAATCTTCAAGATCTGACAGAAAAACCGTAAATGGTCGTACTGGCAGTATGTCCAAAAGACATGGTCATCATAGCCCCAAAAAGGCTGTGCGAGTTCCCATTAAGGTTTCGTGAATTTCGTGATCCTTTTTAAGTTTTAATCTTTTAGACTTGTCCGTCTTATCTACCTGCGGATGATGAGAATGGCCACCATAAAAGACGATCTTTGAGTCAAAGGACAAATTCTTCTTCGACGAGTGTTAGCCCTGCTTCCTCTATGGAATGTTTAGAAATGCGGATGAGAGCCGATAGTCCTTATGGTACTCGAGCCAATCGAGGATACAATTTGGATGAAGAGGTAAGTAAAGGTAACTTTTAAAATAAAAAGTAATTTCTTCAGCTTATGCTGCGCTCTCCTTCTACTAGTCGGGCAACGATGAGATCATCTCCAACCATTCAAAGTTCTCAAAGGCCTTCTAGATCTAGTCATCATGAAAAAGCTGAACCACACTCTGTGCAAGTATCGAGTGTCGAAAACACTGATGATAGGTTAGAAATTATCTCTGAGCTTTATTGAAGTTGGTTCAGTCGTGCTGCAAGCCCATGTTCTGATGATGAGTCGGCGTCTAATCCAGCAGACTCTCCGAAGCCTATGGGTGACCGTTTTCCTGAACATGTTAACATGGGAGGAATTCCTGATGATGATGATGAAGATGATACTTTCTCCAGGTAAAAATGGGAGTATTTTGACGTTTTTAACGGAATGCTGTTAAGATGTGCACCGTCTGAGGAAAGTGACCAGCCTCCCCAGCTCCATGCTGAGAGTGCCACTGATCTCATAACCGTAGGCGGCTCTTCATCGAGCGGCGAAACTGGTTTAAGCGGCCCGCCACCTTTACTATCTTCCGAAATAGGATACAATACTGATGATGATGAAGCTCCACCGAAGCTTTCACCCGCTCTCATTTCTGTACCCCTCGAGAATGAGTTAATAGATTTGACTGAAGAGGAGGTGAGCTATCAAAATTTTTAAAACTGTTGGTACGATTAATGTTTTCAGCGACAACACCTTGCTCTCGACCAGCCCCCTAAAGCCCCAGTCATGATACATGATGTTGGTGAAGAAGAAATGGCATACCACACCTCAGTTCATAATTTGATCGACAACTCAGGAGTTGCTTCTCATCATATGATGCAGCAGGCTTCTACTCCTCTTCCCACTTACCCAGGGTAGTTCTTAATCAACACTTCCTTCTTTATTTGTATGCAATTTTAAGAAGTTTACATCAAGCTACGCCTGATAGCGTGCCGTCGTGTCATATGTCGAATCAACAAACAACTCCGGAAATGCAGGCTGGACAGTTTATGAGTCCTCCTATGCAACAGGTTTTCCATTTACTCGAATTTTTAAATAAAGAATGTGCTTAGGCTATGATGCAACCATCGTCGGTTTCTTCTGTTCACTCAGCTCACAACTCATCGATGGAACATGTTGGCCCTGGTTCTTCCGGAGGAAATCAATCGTTCCCTCAGATGGCTCCAGTTGCAGTCCCCACCGATCCTGCTGGCCAATTGCACAATCCATGTCTAGGTATGTTCTTCAAATTATCACAGTCATCAACGCTTTCATTTTTTAGGGAATAATTCATATGGAAGTCCGTCTACGCAAAATCAACCAATGCGCAGCTCCACAGATGCTGTCCCAACTAATAGTTCAAATCAGCGGCGCTCAGGCGAAGGTAGTCGGAAACAGAGAACTCAATCGCAACCTCAGGTATGTTCCACGTTGTGTACCAATGTAAAGTTCGCTGTGTTACAGATGCAACCAAGTCATCAACAGCTCTCTCAGCAGTTTGCTATGCAAGCTCCGTTCTACAACCCCCAGTATCCTGCATATCCCGGTTATGGTTTTGACCCAACAGCTTTCCCCTCAGCTCATTCCTACTTCCCTCCTGCTTACCAATATGGTAAGGCTGCTGCCACAAACACGGCTATGGGTAATTTTTTGTTTTATTATCAGTTTTCTGCCCTATTGATTTTAGTTTATTATTTATTCTTTAGGAAACATGATGCAGGCACCTATGATTTATAATTATCAGAATAATATGGCTCCTAACATGCACCAGCAAGTTTCGTGGCCTCGGTATCCAGCTGCAGGCCCAGTTCCAACGTTTCCAGCATCGGCCAACCCTGGTTTCCCTCCTGCCCCTTATTTTGGAGCTAGTAATTACTCTTATTTCCAAAAATAGTTCAATCTTTCTAACCTGCGCTTATTTACGGGTCTACCTGGTGGCTTTTCAGATTTTAAATTTAAACATATACAACCTTTCATACAGATTCGGTTATAAGCTAGTTTTATTTAGAGTAATTTTATAATTTAATAACTAATTGCGTATATGAGTTAGAATCATTTCGATTATCAAAAGTCATTGTATAGGCGTAATAGAATTCGTAAGATCTTTATGTTATCACTTAATAGTCCCTCACTTTTTTGTATCTCTGATATTTTGCAGGCATTTTAACTTTAACTTCATTACTATACTTCATTGTTTTATACTTGTTAACGCTTAGCGTTTATTAAGTTGTTTTCATTCATTTGAGAAATAAGTAGTTAGATGTTGTTCATTATCAAAGAACTTTCATTTCCTTTTTTTTAATTTTGGCATTCCTTATTGAAATATACATAGCTCATTCCCAGTGAGGCTATCGCCTTACGGGTTGCTGGTAGAAAAGCCTCGCTTGGGAAGATACAACAAACGAGTTCCGTTGTTATATCTCCATCTTCTCTTGTACACTTCCAGATATTTTGTACTTTTATAATAAAGAATAATATTAGAATACATCTCTTTTACCTATTCAGACGCACAGAAGTGTAGCCTCATAGATTGCGTGGAATCGTAGAGGCACACGCGAAGTGTAGATTAGTGATATCATATATATATATATACTTGAATTATTTTTAGAAGAAGAATCCAATTCCTCTTGGAGTGTGAAAAAGTTTGATTAATTTCTTTGTGTAGCAGCCCTGGTGGCTCCATACTATCGAATTCAGAGTAAACACCTAGCTGGAATACTTAACACTCGGAGGCTTGAGATTGAGCATTAGAAGATGTGCAGTTAGCGAATAAGTAGAATCTTCACTGCATACTAGTACGGTTGATGAATTTGAAAAAAATCTTAGCAGGCCTTATGAAGTATTTTTCACATGGTGTCATTGAGAATCTTAAAGGAACTGAAGCAGTGATCAAAAAGCCTATTTCACTAGCAGTTCGCAAATAATGATTGAAATAGATTAAACTCAATTGAAATGTAGAAGAAATCATTGTCGTAAGGTCACTAAAAGAATTCGTTTAGCTAACCTAGTATATGGCGTCACTAATGGTCTTCAATGCTGCAGTTTCACGATGTAATTAAAGCAAGAAGCGGCTTTGATCGAAAAACCGAAGTCCCATACTTTAACCAAAGTTAGTTAGCCTTTCAGCAATTCTCAAAAATAATGGAAGAATGAAGCTTATATAATCTAAGAAGTTTGAAGAGCATAACGACCATGATAGAGTTCGAATACTAGCAACCGCTCATCCCTGATGCAACATCAAAAATGGTTTGTGTGAAAAACCTAAACCGCGTTCAGTTCACGTGAAATTTGAATGATGGTTAATGAAAACAATTCATTCCATCCATGAAAATCCTTTTTTGTTATAATTTTGGGGATGTTTATGGATTTATTGACCTTTTTTGCTTGTTTTCTGTGGGTAATTCTTAATTTGCCATGCATTCTGAATCCTAATAGTAAATGTACGTTTATTCACTTCTTCTAATCAAAATTTCAAAGTATAGCAAAACAAAACCACGAATGTTCAAAATACTCCTGATGTTGAATATTATTATCAGTTTCACACGACATTTCAAAATCTTCATTTGACTAGCTCCGTCATTTTCTTTCATTAAACATTCTCCGTGAGATGTTTCGATGAAGTCACTACGTAGAACTTCTTCACATTTATCTGGCAAAACCTTCCTTGTCTTTGAATTATTAAGTTAAAGACATGTCAGTACTTTCATCTATTCAATTTTCTTTTTTTCCCCCAAAAATTTTCTTTCCGGATCAAACTCTTATCGCTCTCTAATGATGACCAAAACTTGCATTAACTGAATATCTAACGCCTACTCACCTCTTGAGCTGGTTTTCAGAACCAACTCTCAAAGAAAAAACGTATAAAACGTTGAGTCTAAGAATCCACTATCTTCATAATGTGAATGTTTAGACTACATTCTTATTCTTTATTTCCAGATTCATGACTGAATGTCTTCATTGATTTATTAATTATTTTTCATCATTTATTTTCCAGAAAAAATCATCATTACTTTAGAATATAAATATTTTCTTCTTTTCTGCTGGCTTCTACTTTCCCAGCTGACTCCTTCAATTTGTGAACATCTTTTGCAATGCTCTTTAAAGAACTCAATATGTATAATGGTCATACTAACTTAAATTAAATCTTATTAGCATAACTATTCATATATATTACGTTCGTGTTCAATAACTGATGCTTTTACTTTCTCTTTCGTTTCCATTCTACATGCAGCTCTATGAAATCGCAACATTTATTTCATGAAGGTTGTCATATTTTGTGCTACTAGGTAGCCGTATGCCAATAGATATAGTAAAGTGAATGATGCAAATGGCTAGAAGCCAAAATGAGAAACGGGGCTTACGAGACAGATAGCCCAGTCCCCCGGGGTCTCAAACCTTTAGCAAGTGCACACAGACCAAATGCAATATGGGAAAGACGAATGAACACGCTTTCACCACAAGAAAAGCTGAAGAATCATTGACAATCACGATGCTCCTCCAGCTATCGACGTTAATGTTCTTTTGAAACGAATGTTGTCTTTTTTTTCCTAAGACTCCAATCGTTTTTGACTTGTTTACCTTATAAGATAGAGATTCGAATTTGGCTTCATGCTGTATCCGGCTATTACATTCCGATCGGGTGATGACGTCCACAGCCCAGCTGCACGGTCATTTTCGAACAATTAGATCTCCAAATTCTTCCATCTCTCTTCAATCTGTTTTCTGAATCTCTTCAATTGTGCCGTATTCTTTTTGTAGAAAATATCCTTATGAGCTGACCAAAGCACTTTGAATGTTTTTCTTTCTATTTGTAGTAACCGTTTTGTTGAACCTCGTCTCTAATTTTTGCTTTCATAACTTACACAAGCAGTTTTTCTGGTTAGAATTCAAATTGAAGCATCATGTGCTAGTTCTATTATAGTTTTGCTCCAATTCAGGTAGCTCTCTTCTATGTCCGTTAATAGTTTTATGTTTTTGTTTTGTTTTTCTACTCAGTTCTTCTATTTTTTTTGCGTACATGTAATAATATAATTATACTTATTAATCATTTTTGCATAATAGTAAGCGTTCACAAGGATTCGCGTTTGTAAAGCTAGCTAACACAACCGCTTCTTACTACTGCACATTATGAAATGAAAGATTCTCTTCTCACGTGACGTCATGTCTCATCCAAAATGCAAAGTAAGCTTCTTTTGAAAAGGTTGGAAGTGATAAAATAATCATTCTTTTTTCTTCACTTTAAAATTCAAAGAAAGGCAGCCTAAGAGTAATTCGAGAATGTTTCAAAGAGCACCCAAGATATCGCTTATGCTTGGATGATTTTTTTTTCGTCGTTTCGCTCTCCTAATATGTACATATTCTCTTGTGAAATCATATTTTGTGTGAATCTTGCTTTGAACAGATAAATCTGGGGTGTTAAGCTTCAACTTGCGATATCTCAATTGAAACGTTTCTATGTGACAGATGAAAGCTGCTAGTTCAAACATCACATATTTTTGTCTGACCTCTTCTTTCAAATATCATATGAACCAAAGGTTTCTAAATACATATAGCCCATATGGATAAAGAAGAGTATTTATCATATATTCCATCAGTGCTCTTTGATTTTCTTCTTGTTTTCTCTGCTTACTGAATTTCCAACATGAACATAAGCTCTGGTGAGGAAGTTTCAATTGAAATATCTAAGGATAACTGCCGCAGTTTGTTTCTTTTTAAAACATTCCCAAGGCTCTTATTTTACATTTAATTCTTTTGATCTCTTCCAACGACATTCTATACTATTCAATTTTAACTTTCTTCTTTAATTCCTTCAACTATCGTTCATCTTTATTATCAGCATCATTAGCCAATTGTTTCTTCTCTCAGCGTGTATGCAAAGCAGTCATATGCTTTACAAAACAAAAAATCAAAAAAGGAAAAATCATTTTCATGTGATCCAACTCAATTGCTATTCTCATCTTCACAATATGTTTTGTTTGAGTGTTCATCCAACAACCTTAAAACATAATCAAAACTTCAAGCATCAACTCATGTGCTTTTTCATTTTTTCACTGGAATGTTCGCATTACAAGTATGTGTAGATCGCTTGCTATTGTATGTTGTCTATAATACTATTCTCTATTTGGTTCTTTTGATCAGCTGAAAGTACATTTTCGACTATAAACTCATTTGAATGCTTGAACTTCGACACGCTGTTCAGAAATGTTTCGATATTCCTCATTTTGATATTGAAAACAAGATTAAAAGAACGGAGTACGAAGAAAATCAGAATCACGGGGGCTCTTCTATAAATGACAGTGAAGCAGAAAAAAGCTGACAACAAGACCCATTTCGTTCATTTTTTCGTTTCATTTTATTGTTTTTTTTCTCCTCTTGAACATTTCTTTTTCTCATTTTCTAGGGTTTTTTACCAAATAAAATATTTGATCAAGAAATCTGACGGATTCCAGAGAGAACTTGTTGAAATTTATTCTGCGTTTGGCATCCGGTGAAAGAACGTTTCCGTGTTTTCTCTTAGTAGCAGTTCTATGTTAATATTCTCGTATTTGACTTATGAAAGATGAAACATCAAGATATTAAATGAATGTGTTAATACCTTTCTCATCGTTAAGACGATTCATTTGATAATGATGTATGTGTGAGTGATTAGCATCTTTACTGATACTGTCCATAGTTTGATATGAACGGAAAGAACACATTTGCATAAAATCTTTTTCTCCTCTTCTTTGTTCTTTTGTGTGAAACCCTTTTTTCCTTTATTCTCATTCTCCCTCTCTCTTCCATTATGCTTCTCTTTCTACTCCTTGTTTCTTTATTTTTCTCTTTCTTTTTTCATTCCCTCCTTAAAACTTTCTTTCTCTCTCTCTTTCTCTTTCTTCCTCTTCAATAAACCTAACGCTTGTGCAGCACAATTTATTGAATTTTAAGAATATTTTATTGAATTATGTTTTAAATAGCTATATGGGAGGGCTTCTCTGGGTAAATTTTACCTTTATTACCCTCAGGTTCAGAATAGATATCGTAAATGAATATCTGTCCGACATAAATCATACTTAGAATGCTCACAAAATCTTCTTCTCAAAGATGAACAGCTCTTCGTATTACATTTGATCGTTCTGATATTGAGAACCTGCACCCTTAAAAGTTTGAGTCGATTCATCTATTCTCCAGACTCATTATTCCTCTAGGGGCTTGAAGAAACTTTTAGTTTTTTTTTTTGTGGAGAAGTTAGAGGTCAAGATAAACCATTCAGAATAAAAGAGGAATGTGTATGAGTTTCGTTTAAGTTTGAAGTTTCAATAACGCTTGAAAGTGGTATAGAGATTGAGAGATCTGCAGCACTTGTGTACATCTCATCATATTCAAGCCTTTGATGTATAAAGACTAGACATATTAGTGGATATTATCCATCTGTTTTGGCTTTTATCATCTATCTTTTCTGTTTTTGGTTGTTTTCTTTTAGTTTTGATGTCCAAAAATGTCGCTTTCCTTTATTTCTTGTGCTTGTGTTGAAGAGTAAGATACACTACACAATACATTCTCTTCTATCTATTTCGTTTCTTCAACACATTTACTTCAAAATCCAATTTTTCATTTTAACCTATCCAACAAAATATTTTCTTTTTTTCTCTTTATCTCTCTCTCTTTCTCTCTCTTACTCTCTTTATTCAAAATAAAGCTGAGCTTTTTATCTTTGTCGATTCATCTTCTTCCAGCATGTCTCACAGCTTCTTTTATTAAAGTTAACTAATGAAAACAAGCATTGCCCTTTGTAACAAAGCATTTTTATTCAATTTAACATCAGTATTGAACTTTAATTTTTGAAAATCGGTCATTATGACAACTATTTCTTATCTTGCACTGTCACTCTCTTCATCCTCTCTCCGAAATTATTTAATATCTACGTGACTCTCTTCACGTGAGCTGCTTATACCAGATTCATTTCAATTAGACTATCACGGAAGAGCGGTTGTATTTTAAACCTTTTAAGTTTTCTTACTTCATTTTTCTGTTTATTCCCTTTCTCCGAATTTGCTTCCGTAATCGAGCTTAGAAGAATGTATCCTCATCTCCAAGTACGCTTTTTTCGCATCTTCCTTGACCTTAACTCATACTCTATATAAAGGAATGTTTGAGAGAAAGAGAAAAAAAAAGTAAATTATGTCTTATCAACAGCTGTTCATGGTATTTATCGCAATGAATTACTTTAATGTTATAAATAAGTTTTATTTTCTATTTTATTTATATGAAATTACAAGATATACTGCTTTCGCTTATTTCTTTTTCATTTCATTGACAGTTTTTACTTTTTATAAGCTTTAATTTCAAATTCTAATTATTTCAATAAGTCCAGTAATTACAGATGGGAAATGCCCAAACAAGCTCACATTCATCACGTTATCGAACTAAACGGCTTGGAAGGCAACGAAGGTTGTCCGAACCCGACAGTGACATAAATTCAAATAAGGTATACTGTTTAGAAAACCTTTCTTCTTTTCTTTTTTTTTTTAAATTTTTTATTGAAAATAATCAAAAATAGAAGGGCATTCTTGTGTGGGCGAACAGAATTTACTTTTCTGTTTATCCTACTTTTATTGTTTGAAAGATTGTTAAAGCTTTATTAGAAATTCTCACCAATGACTGCGATCAGAAGCAGCTGAAGCATCTGGAAGTTTTATCAAACTTTTTTGTGTTCAGCGCGTCATTGTTTGCGTCAAGCAGAGAAAGAAGTTGTCCTTTTTGTGTGAATGTCTTTAAAAAAATAAAATAAAGTTCTTTTTGTAATAATTTTGTTTTAATAAAACATAAATTAGCTCAACACCTGGTGCGGCTGATGATCAATCATTTGTGACCACGAGATCAAGCACTTGTCATATTAATCTTAAGCTTACTCAAAAAGTTTTTTTTAGTGTCTCTTGTTTCATATGCATTAGGAGAGAAAGAGAAAGGGAGAGAGAAGGAAAAAGATAAAAGAGAAACATCCGTTTAAGCTCAAGCTAACACAATAATGAATACTTAAGTAGTAGGACACACGTGAAATTAGCATAGAAAGAAATGGGTACGTGAAAGTTTATACGTGACATTTGGGGCAATTAAATTCGAGGACTTACTCGAATATATTTAGTTTTTCAATTGAATACTTCCTTCAATGATAGATATTTACAGTTGGGTCCAAGTCGAGGACTATCAAGCTCAATGGCTACAACCCCTACAACTCCTCCTCGCATACAGATTAATGGAATGGATTCAATGGAAGAGAGTGATGGATTAGCTCCTAAAAGTAGTAGTATGGTATAGCATTTTTTTTGTAATTTTTCAAAGCTTCGTCCACATTTCTTTCAAACCTCATTCTCTCTTACTCTCTAAGTGTGTAGCTGCTGCAAGAGTCACATAATCAGTTTATTTGGATGTGAGAGACAAAGAGAGAAAGTAAAAAATTTTTATTTTTTTTCTTTTCAAATGACAAAGTGATGTTTTTACTTATTATTTACCTTTTTTGGAAGAGGGAGGGCGTAAAGAAAGAAATGAAACGCAACAAATGCTTTCATTAATTCTTTATGTTTTGAATCCTTAAGATAATTTCTCAAATATTTTTTTGTTTTTCTCTCGAAGATCCTCAGACTTCTTGATGTTTATCCTTGCTCCTTCCACCATCCACATCTTTTTTTCTCTTTTTTTTTCTTTTGCAGACTACAAAGGCTTTAACAAACATAGAATATGCATAATTAATTATAAATAACTGTAATACTTGATGACCTTTTGTTTTTTGAGTACTTTCCGTTCTCTGTCCAATGATTGCGATATGACGGTTTGGTTAGCATTCATTAGTCCGCCTCGAACAAATTCATATACACACACACACACATATAAATATCTTTCATTATATGAAAGATTGCTTTTGAAGAGATATTATAAGATGCTGTACAATGAATAACTTTTGGTTTTTCTATTCTTAATCTAATATCGGCTTTATTGCACCAATAACTATCTGAAATTATTTCCTTGTCTTAGATACTTCATAATCTAAAGTTCATCCTCTTGGCTCATTTATAAGTCTTTGGTTGCAATTTGATCTGTCTTTCATTGAATAACAAATCAAAATTATAGTTCTGCTTTTGTCTTGTCATTCGCTTTTTCAACTTTACTTTCTATTTTGAAATTTCTTTTAGCATTTCAACGTCAAGATCGAAGGCTTTCTCTTCCTTTCAATATGTTCAGAACAAGCGAATGGCAATGACGCAGTTTCTTCCCTCTCAATATTCAATTACAAAAATGATTCAGCTTTACTTTCTCATCTTAACCTTTTTTAATTTTAGCTCAATATGCTCTCATATTGCTCGTTGAACTTTTTCCTTTTTCTTATATTTTGCCACCTCCACTATCTATACATCCGGTACTTAAGAAGTTGAAAATGAGCTGGTTTAGACATAGAGAGGAGAAAGAGAAAGAGAGAGGAAAAAATGATTTTCGTACAACTGTCTTCTCTTTTTCAAATTCTTTTTCGTCTTACACCTGATGGAAGAAAGTAATGATGGTGGATGGAAAAGCTATATAAAGCTTAAAATAGAACATAAAACTGAAAATACTTGTAAAACTCATCTTGAAAGAGGATGTTTATCATTACTTGGACATATTTTCAAAATCAGAAGAGAAAATCTTTCGTCAAATAATAGAATGAAAGTACTATCATAGAACATTGATTTTGATAATTCGTGAATGAATGCATCATCTACATACTAGAAGATGATGTTTACGGAACTCATTCAAATAAGCTCCTCATCCTAGTGGATAACTTTCTTTGCTCCAACCCTTTTACTATCTGAATATCTTCTCGCTAAGAAATAACTTTTGTATCCACCCACTCATCATATTCAAAACTGAATTAGATAACTGTGTGTGAAAGCCAATTCATTCACGTGAAATGCAAATGAAGCTTACGTGAATTCGCGTATTCATCAATCATTTGGAGACAAACAGATGAATAGAGCGGTTGATCTCTTTTTTTTTCACCTCAATTCATCTATTCTAACATTCTTTCACACATTTATCTTTTTTTCTCATTTGAAAATACATGAGAAGTATAAATACTATAGTCCAGACAACTTACTCCATTTAGAGTTATAAATAAGCTTAAGCTTATAATTCTTTATATCTAGGACTAAAGAACGTTTTTAACATAACTTCTATGATTGACCTTTAATATACCCAAAGATAGATACATGTCCATTCATCTCATTTCGTTTTCTATAACCTAACCTCAGCTACTAGTACGATACTACTACAATAACCTTCCCAATCTACCTTTACAATATTGTATTTCTTCTTTTATATCTTATCCATATCATACATATATTGTTAAAATAATAATATGACTCTTATGGCATCGTATTTTCAATCTTCTCTAATCATCCCAGATAAACACATATTATATTTGGTATTATGAAAAAAAGAAAAGATAAAATCCATTTCGTACTGTCCCAACATCTGTCGCTTGCTTTCAAACTTTAAATTTAGTTTGTTTTTCATGTAGATTTTCGTTGATTATTCTTAGATTCGGTTTATGATAGATTTCTCATCTCTTTTTTCATCCATATAAGGACATCATGAGAACAACAGATCATGCTTCCAATAGATTTCAATATTCCCGTAACGAAGACTGTGTTGACTTGAAATTGGTGATTTATGAGAAATAAGCTCGTATGATTGAGAAAAAAAATTAATTATTATTCATGGCTTCTCAAGCTTCTGAAACTTCTATCGTAGGCTGAAAGAAGCCTCAACATGTTCATACCAGAACTCATTGAACTCTACTTCCTGAACTACTACTTCCTAACAAACTCTTTCGATCCCTGTTAAAAAGCCATCAACTCTTAACTAATAAGCTTTTCCTCCACTTCTGTCAAGAGTTATCTCCATCAATCTGTTAGTCATGATTTTCTTAGAACAACAGAGGTCTCCAAAATATATTAGCTCTGCTAAAAGCATTTTTTCAATTCAAAAGACATGCTTTTTCGAAAATTCATAGTCTTTCATTAACAAAACTGAAACCTCATAGAGTTAATTGAAAAAAAAACCTTTTTTAACAATATTTTCCTATCTCATTCCAAGGTTTCAAAATCTTTTCAAGATAGTTTTGGTTATTTCTTGTTAAGCTTCCAGCTCCGCCCATTTTAGCTTTTTCTCTTTGGTCGTGTGCTCGAAAGCCTTCAAGAATCTATGACACCCGGACAGGCAGCCTGGCGTTGTTGAACATTTTTACTTTTACAAAAATTTAAAAAAATCTTTGTTTTTCTGTCGCTCAAGATTCATTTTAGCCCCTCTCTATAAACATAACGCCAATCTCTATACTAGATCTCATGGCACCGTTATAAATCATTCATTAATATACTTAAATGAATGTTATTCAATTTATCATGAAAACATAAATGTCTATCATCCTCTATGATAACCACAAATCAACTTACCTCAAGCATTTCTCAATATTTCATCATTTCCGAAACTTTTCTGGTTCGCGTTCTCGTTGCCTTGGTTGTTACATCTAACTACACCTACGCATCAACATTCTCTCTACTTTAGGCTTGAGCCAAAAATTGTTTTTTTGCTTCTTCATACATTTAAAAAAATAGAATTACACAAGACACATTTCTATATTTGTCAACTAATCTTGATGCCGGTCATTTTCAGCTGACATTTCCTCTTTTTTTTTGCCAATAAGTGTGCCCAGCTAAGCATAACTACTCAGTAGTCATGTTTTATTGTACCAGAGGAGGAAGAAAAATTTTTAAATTCCTTTCGATTCGATTTGGCATAAGCTGCTTTCAGTTTATCAATTTCATAAACACATGGCTTTGAAAGGACTTTTTTTCCTATGACAAGCTTTGTGCGGCATGCTCGTCAATCATTTTCTATATTTCCTTTCATAATTATAACTTGAACTCATTAATAAACAATTAAAGGTAATTACAATCATCTTTCATTCCAATGCATTTCAATTATTCTTCATAAAAATAAACTTTTATGCTTTGAGAATTAACTGTTTGAGATGCGATTCGAACATAATGCATTACGTAATTTCAATCATTGAAAAAAAAAAGAAAAAAAAAGAGTTAAAGTTAATAGCGTAATATATGACGGATATGGCTAGCTATTCCAACTATGTGAATCTTCAATCCATAAGTGAAAACCGCCAACGCATTTCAATAGTTTATCTGACTTCCTTCTTTCCCATTCAGCTCTGAATATCTCACATACTATAATATTTTTTTTAATAACTATGTTTTTTTCTTTCAGGAAATTCCTAGATCTGCATCTGTTGGAACGCCTGCAACATTGAGAAGAATGCAATTCCTAAGTTCGAGTGGAAACCTTAACATCAGGTTTGTATGTTCGGTAATAAGTTGAGAAAGTGGTTACGGTTCTTTCTCTCAATGTTTAACTATTCGGGTTTGCGGTTTTTCTATAGCAGCCGCTCATCCATAATTCTTGATAATAGTGAAAGTTACGTGGAGTTCACGTGAATCTAGTTTTCAATTTCGTGCTTCATTCGTTTGGGGGGGGGGGGGGGGGTTAAAAAAAAAATAAACTTCT